AGATGGCGGAGCCAAGGATGATCCGAGTTCACTCACTCTTTCCCTGGCTTTTGCGGTGTTGAGCCACGGCTGCCGGTGCATGTACCTGGCAGGCACCTGTGCGGCGTTGCGTGCCCTGCCTCCTCAATACACGGGCTCCGTGGCTGCACTCTTGGCCATCTCGGTCTCGCTCGGCTACATTTTGTTGCCGTTGGCTTGGCGAAACGTTTTCATGCCAGCGCCTGACGATGAGAACTTCGATCCCAACACGCGGCTCTTGGCCAACCTGAAACCTGTCGCACACTTCTTTCTGTTCCTCGCCATCATCTACGCGGTTGCGACGGTGCTGGGCCTTTGCCTTGCGCCGCTGCTGCCGCCGCTGAAGGCAGGGAGGTCCCTGGGAGCCTCACGCAGGCAGAAGCTGAAGGAGCCCCCTGCTATTTCGATGTTCTGCTTCGTGGCTTTGTCAATGGCCTTTACCTACACCTACCTCACTGGTGGCCTCGCCGCTGCCTCAAAACGGGCGCAACCACCAGCGACCCCGCAGGAAAGAGCGACTGTGATCCTTTGGAACGGAATCTGTGGCATGGCGAGCCGCTTTGCCCATGGCTTTGGAGCAGATCTGCTGCGGGGGAAGTTCGGCTTTGGCGAGGCCGGTCTGTACCTGTCCTTGTGCTCCTCAATTACTTTCTCCATCATGGGCTTCCTGGTGCTCATGTACAGCGAGTGTTGGAAAATTGCCACCTACCTGATTGGCTTTTCCTTCGGTGGTATGTTCTCCCTCTTTGCATCGGCGATCTGCATGATCTTCGGAAAGCAGGAAATGGGCTTCTGGATGGGGATCCTATTCGTGATTCTTGGTGTCATGCACTCCGTCTATGGCCAGCTCGCCGTGCAGATCGACACGTTCACTTACTATCTCATCGCATGCCTTGCCGCAGCCGTCTCCTTGTCATTCTTCCTCTTCCTGGCCTGGTCCAAGTCCGAGCGCCCTTAATATAGGGGCCTTAATAAATTACCTATACTATTTTGGGGCGTTCCTCATGAATTATCATGATCCTATGATCTGCCCCAAAACCCTATTCTAATCATTCAGGCCCCTACATTAGTCCTGCAAGCTGCCTCGTTGACAAACTCAGGGTTGAGGGGGCTCGATAGCCCTCCCCTTCAAGCCCTGGGCGTGAGCAGAATCCACCCGAAAAAAGTCTGACCCTAGACCCTGAAGCATCCGAACCTACTTCTGCAGACCTCGCCAGGCTTGTCCGAGAGTGAGTGTCAAAACCCTGAACCCTAAACCCTAAAACCCTACATCACCGATCCTTCTGAGCTCCGAAGCCTTACTTTGCAGCTGGGGTCGGTTCGGACGAGAACGCCGACGGAAAAGGGCATATGATTACCGCAAGGATCCAGGGCAGCCCACCAAACCTGAAAAGCCCCTCTGTAACCCCAAACCCCAAACAAACGACCTGAAAGCCAAGAGTAGTACGCACACGAACCGAGAGGCCTCCTCTGGCTGTGTCCGAGTTGCGAGAGTGTAAACCCCAAACATAGGAGGCAAGAAAGCCAAAAACATCCCAAAATCCATAAAGTCTAAACCGCCGCCCCCTTTTGGGTCGAAGTATCTCCTAGGATTCTTTCGGGTTTGCGAAGGTGGAGTGTATGGCAAAAAGGGTAAAAGACGCGACGTATCGACGTATTACCATGCCAGGTGTAGAATGACATCGGCGAGTTCAAGATTTGCAGCGCTCCCTTTTTGGTTGGGGTGTTTAGGGTTTAGGGTTTAGGGCATTTAGTGTTTAGATGCAAGACATGCCCAACCCCCCCGCAGGTATCTACACACAGCAAATTAACATCAATACGCAGAAGCCAGCAAAAGACATCATTAACATCGTCGTAAAGCCGGTGTTTGAACATTCGCTCTCTCACATGCAAAGTAGTTTGTACAGTTACTTGTTCGCTTCAGGCTCCTTGCTTCCAGTCCGTTTACACTCGAACTTCAACGGCAAGCGTGATTACACACAAGGCTTCTTCGAACTTGTCAAGACCAACCGCATCTATTCCATCAACACAGGCCGAAAAAGCATCAACCAAAACACGAACACCGCCACTACTCCAGAAGACTTCAAGCCCAAAATCAGTAGCAACTACTACATAGTTACATACGCGACCGAGAAGAACCCCCAGAATGCCACATAATAAAAGAAACGGCCGAAGAACTCTCGAAATACACGTAAAGGCCAGAATGCAACCTGGTTTTTAAAGATAATGTCGTTATGGAATTCTTCCACCAACCAAAAACCGCCAGATATGAGCACATCACACGTCAACATGCCAAGTTTGACAGCTAACTGGGAGATGACGGACACAAGCAAAGAAATGACCCTCAATAGCAAATTACAGAGCTTATCAGCACACTGCAGAGACGAAGACGTATCTGCAGACCACGAATGCTCTTCAACAAGATGAGCAGAGAAATGTTCAACTTCAGCAAGAGAAGCTGTAACGAAGCCCACAAGTTAAGTCCTACTGCAGCCAGACTGGCATCGACATTTTAGACGAAGCACGAAGCCTAAAGCCAACTGGGAATTTCAGACAACACTCCATAAACGAATCGGTAGAGAGTGACAGGACCAATGGCTTCACGGGGGCCTTCTCACGTATGACCCACATTGCAGTTTTCAGTGTACAGACCTACCCGTGGAAACAAAGTATGAAAACTTTCACTGAGTGCCTAAGACAACGGATGGATGGAACCACAATCGGTTCCTATATTGTTTGCTGTTCGAGGGACCTTATCCGAAAACCGCCTTCGTCCTTTTTCAGTCGAACGCAAATTTCTGCTGCCAGTCAAGTTTTTTGAAGGTCTTAGCATGTACAATCGTGTCCATCAGATGCTTCCAGAAAAAGGTCTCAAGGAGCACGACAAGACGAAGCCAAGGAACGTTCTGGATATCGCTGTGATGAAGAAGTTAAACAGTGGTTCACAATGTAGGAACAATGAACAGAGTTTGATTATGAAGTGACTGCTGTCAATTGTCCAGGCATAACAAATCAAGTGAATATATAATTTTGCTATATTGTGGTTTATGCTCAATTCTTTTGGCCATTGGGGAGTATGGGTAATTTAACCGTTGAGTTTGGACTTGTCAATAGTGATACGGATTGCATGGCCAACCCTGGTAACAACACTGAAGCAAATGCTGTAGGAGACCTTTTCACAAGCAATGTGGCACTGCCAGCGGGTAATGCATCAAGCACCTCAACAGTTTGTGAACTGAGCAATGCATTTGGCATTTGTTTCCTGTGATACTTGTACTTGGCAGAAGCATAGTACTATAGTACTTCAATCATCTCGCAGGGGGGGCGCTAAACCTTCCAGCATGTGCTCAGTTCATTTGAAACAGCATCTCCCCACCAATTAGGTTTGCCTTCTATTTTGAAGAAGCGCCATATAGTTGCTGTACAGGATTTACGTAACACAAGAGTGGGACAGCACATGCTTCAAAGGGTGAAAAGTGCAGGAGCAACATTTCCACAAATGGTCGGCCGGCTAAGGGTTTTCGTTGCTGCACTGATTGAGCAACTGGGAGTTTCCGAAAATTCGGGGTACCTTATTTCGGGGTCCTTATGGATGCTACTATTTAGGGTACCATATTCGGGTCCCGTCGTAAGCCTTGGCCTTAGCACGGGTTCAAAAACATATTCGGGTCCCGGCCGACTTCCCAGGCTCCAAGCACACTAACAGCAAACAAAATTATTGTTAATGGCTCCGCGCTTTCAGACTTTTTTTGGCGCTGCAAAACAGAAGCTGTATCATCAGTGGGTGTTTCACAAGCGGGTCTTGATAAGTCTGTTTCAGCCCTTCACAGCAAAGACATGGCAAACGACTGCACGTTTCTAATTAAGTCACCTAGCAACAATTGTCAGTCACATAACTTCATCCGAATACGTAGTAAAAATGCAACGGCAGAGTCGTGTTGACATAAGTTCTGTTTCGTTGATTACACACACAACATGGAAACAGACGCCAATAGCTGGAGAAATTCATCGGCACTGGCCCTATGCTTTGACATCGGCTTTAACAATCATCCCGTGTGAGCAGTGGTGGCTCCACAGATGCACAGGTTGACTCGCTTTTGAATGCAAAAGCACACACCAACATTCACGGACAATATTAGTTTCTTCTCCGCCATAGATTGTTACAGACGAAGTATACTTCATCGACGGTTGACATTGACAAGTCCAACGGTTCATATTAAGCCACGAGAACCCCTTCAACGTTAAACCCTACTCACTGACTCGCCTCGGCAATGCCGCAAATACAGTGCCACCCAGACGCAATACGAGCCACATGCTTCGCCTGGATTGTCCGAACGTGAGCGCCGAAACCCTACACCCCACAACCCTAAACCCCCAAACCCTAAACCCCCAAACCCTACACCCCACAACCCTAAACCCCCAAACCCTAAACCCTAAACCCTACACCCCACAACCCTAAACCCCCAAACCCTAAACCCTAAACCCTACACCATGTTCAGCCTTGCCTGCCTTGTGCGAGTGTGAGCGTCGAAACCCTACACCCCACAAACCTAAACCCCCAAACCCTAAACCCTAAACCCCAAACCCTACACCCCACAACCCTAAACCCCCAAACCCTAAACCCTAAACCCCAAACCCTACACCCCACAACCCTAAACCCCCATGCATGTCTGAACCGAGAGACTTCCTCTGGCGGAGTCCGAGTTGCGAGAGCGTAAACCCCTAACCCTCCAAGCCAGTCTGATTTCCTTATTCAAAAACCAGGTTATGGCAGAGGAGTTAGACGATAAGGATGTGAAGGAAGGTTGCATTTAGGGGGTAGGACTGGAAACCGAACCTTGTATAGATGGTTGTAAGGCATGTTGGTACGGTTGGTATGGGATACGCTGGTAAGATGGTGAGACGGTTGTCCGTGAACTTGGGCGTCACACCTGCTAGCTGAATCGCCCCGAACCCCCAAGCCACATTCATGCCTGGCACAGATGGGCCGGCCCATTTACAATGCTCTTCGGGGCCCAGAATGGACCTGCAACTCGGCAATCAACGGTTGTTGATGCGCTTGCCGGCTCGGGGCTTGCGTGGTTGTAGTTTCAGACTTTTCCGGAGAAGGATCTCACACCCACGTTAGGCCCAGGATGACATGCCAGTTGCAGGGACGGTGTTGCAAATCACCAGATGAGTCGTAGCCTAGCGGAATCTAGCGAGCATAATATAGGGGCCTTAATAGTTAGACTAGGGTTTTGGGGCCCACTATCCTATAAATATAATTAGGACCCTCCAAAATAGCATTGGTAATTATTTGGGTTCTTACATGGAACTCAGGAGATCGACATGACTCCGGCGGAGGCATTCATCAGCTTCCTTGGCATGGCCTTGGTGCAGATCGCAATCGGAGCCCAGGGGCGGGGTTGGGGGGTCTCCGGGGTTCGCCCGTCGGGAGGAACCATGCCGTGCCGCCGCCAGACTGCAGAGTGTTATGAGCTAACTTGATACAACATCACTCACAAGCCCTGATATAGTTCTTTTGATTAACTTTAATGCATGTCATGGCCAGGTCTAGTCATAAATTGAGGCGCCTATATGATGTGGCAGATGTCATTGCAGTTGCGAAGCTCGGAGGAGTCCTTCTCATCACCATCCTGGACAGGCCTTAGAGGGATTTCGAACGCTATGATACTTGGCCTTCTTCTGGTTGCCTCTTAGGACTGTAACTTTGGGCTTCTATGCGAACCCAAATGTGTAAGGAGGCTAAAAGTTGAACTTTTAGGAGGGGTCCAGATTTCAGCCAAGTATAGTGAAGGTGATTTGGAAGAACCCAGGGTACAGTTGAAACAAATCCAGAATGGCCCGCACATACATGCATGCAGCTCCAGGCACAAAGGTAAGCAGATGAACAGGCAAAGAAGATGGATCGTTTTGCTTGACAGATGTGTGTAAAATCATGAATGTATGCATTGCTGCGTGCGTAGGCTTGCATACGTGTTTGTGCATTTAATCTCCCAAGCCGGTAAGATGCGACCTCATATCGCACAGTAATATAGGGGCCTTGAAAATTACCAATACTTTTTTGGGGTTTCCTTATTGTAATTATGGTAAAATGGGCCCCAAAACCCTATTCGAATTGTTAAGGCCCCTATATTACACTTCCCGATACGTTGATACAGACCTTACCATGTCTTTCCATTGCTTGCAGGCGCCAGTGTCCCGTTCTGAGCGAGACAGGCAGGGCGAAGTTTTCGGGGGAGAGCGATCCCTAAACCCTACTTGGAGGTTCATGGGTAGTCATAAGGGTTCCTTTAAGGGTCCCTTTTAAGGGATCTATAGGGATTCTACCAGGGGTATAGGGTTTAGGGTCTACATGAAGACCTTGAGAGCCCGCTTGCCGGCATACAACTCAAGCCCGTGCTCAAAAAGGGTCTACTTGGAGGCTCATGGGTAGTTGCAATTGGAGGTACCCTGATACGGATTATAGTTGTAGTTCCCCTACCTATAACCCTACTTACAACTACCTATGAACCTCCACGTAACCTTCACTCCATTTACGTACATCGTAGCCCCCCAAGCACTGATCGCGCAGCACCTCAAGCGCACTCCTCAGACTGCAGGTAGGGGGCAGCTGCCGCCAGAGACCAGTGCCCCGGACACGCTGCTGGAAGTCAAAGGTGCGCCTTCCAAGTTAGGGCCCCTTCTCATAAGCTTGTCTTCCAAGCTGCTACTCAAACTACTTCTGAGACTTAGGGTGCCTTTATGTATCCCGGCCCACAATTTGCCGGTGGATGCATCGAAGCGGTGATGGCCTTCTGAGTGAAACTGGTCCTGGCTCTTGGACATGCGACGTACTTGCATGCTTTGAAGGTCAGCCTGAGCATGTACGTACTGGTAGTCGGCAATTGGCCAGAGGGTTTTAATTTTTCGAGTTCAGCTTGTCAGTAGCACGAGTTGGCATGTTCTGGTTGCTCGCCTCAGTTTGGTGAGGCCTGATGCACAGCTCCTTGGCTACATGCAGCTTCGTCTTATAGTATCGTTCACTCGAAGCTTCTGGATGCTGAAGACGGAGATGATGACCGTTGAGTGGGATGGCGATAGTGGCGGGATGATGATGATGATGATGATGATGGCGTTGCAGCCGATGGTGGTCTGAGTGCAACATTTCGATAAAGTTCGCAATTATAGACATAATGTTTACAAGTGTGCTGTGATCTCTGCATTGCTAGCAAAGCTGGGTAGGCACAGACAGAGTAGAACATAGGCGGCAATCCTTACAGTTCAGAAATGCAGGTCTTGATACGAAGCGAGAACGCATACAGACGCTAGCACGACTGCGAATCCGATTGCTGGTTTCAAGCCTGACTCCACAACTACCTTAAACTGCTACTTGTGGTATAGAGGCCTGATGGAATAACACTACTATTCCTGGTTTGCGTATCATGGTTGCAGTATCGTCTACCCAAAACCGTCTTCTAATGCTAAAGCCCTCATATTGTCAGGTTATGGCTGGCTTCCATCGAGATCGTCACCAGAAACCTTCACACTTCACGGTGTTGCTTCGGCTGCAAGAAGCTGTCGAGGTCGGACCATTCCAATCGGATGCTATTTCGGAGCACAATCCTACTGTTCCGTGTTGGGGTTTCATCGCACCTTTGGACAGTCAATTGTGGCTCCTTTGACCATGCAGCTCTGCGAACCGAGTACAAACTGTATACCTTATGAGAAGATCACTTTCGGACACTCCCAAATGAACTAGTTTTATACCTTCAAGCATGCATTGTCGTTATGTCTGTGTACATGCCGATATGATAAAGGAATATACCCACATATCAACCATGGATTCAATATGTACCTCATGTTCTCGTTTGTTGTTGAACATGCAGAGAAGGCATCCTGAAGCTTTCAATCTGCCTACAGTCCGATCCTACACTCGGAGTCAAGTTTGATGGCCTGATCGGTGTTGCGGTTTAGGGCCGTTGAGGATGTGCGGGTTTGGGGGTGGGATTACCCGATGTAATCGATGTAACCGGCAAACTCGACTAGGCCGTGAACCGAGCCAATTTTGGTCTGACGGGCTATTCCCACCCCGAGCCCTTGAAGCCATGTCTATGAGGATTGTGCTGCCTTGTCCTGAGGCGCCAGGCCCTGAACTCAGTGACCCCCAAAAAGCTTCAACCCTAAACCCTCAAAGCACAAGCACACGCGCACCAGAGACATCGTCAGGCATGTCCGAGTTGCGAGAGCGTAAACCCCTAAACCCTAAACTCCTAACAGGTGAGCTTCAAGATCGATCGGGGCGAGACGCTGGGACTGCTGGGGCCAAACGGCGCAGGCAAAACCACGGCCATCCGTCCTTCGGCTTGCTCGGCCTTGCTGGTTTCAGTGCAGTTTTTTGTCTTGGTTTCAGGGATTCAAGGGTTTGAGTCAGTACTGGCTTAAAGACTTGGAAAGAGCTATCCTCTCTTGTGTGTACAGGGACTTGCTTTGGCCTACTGTTGAGCGATTGGGCTTCCGGTTTTGGATTCCCGAGTAGAGCGATGCCTCCAGCCAAGGATGCATCACCGGCGAGGAGGGCCCGCAAAAAGGCAGGATCGCTGGGTCTTCGGTTTAAGGTTGAGGGCTTTTGAGAAATTCAGAGAAGGACGGAACGCATCGGACCCGTCATGCCTAAGCCCTAAACCTTAAAGATGATGCGTCTGGCGAGACGACTTGCGAGAGTGTAAAGCAGATGAGACCCCGTAGGCATGCAGAACAAGGTGCTCAACAAAACCTATAAGACCTGCTGCGGCATTCCTGCCATGTGTGTTGGCCGACCGGCGAAGCCCAATATGCCAACATTGATCTCCCCAGCCCGACACGCTCGAAGCAAAGCAAGTCCCTCAACCCTAAACCTTAAAACGCGCAGGTTCCGTGAGCATTGGTGCTGAGGCAGGTGGGGCCTGCATAGGCCTCTGCCCGCAGGCATCCGCTGCTTTGTGTTTCTGGAGATGGAGGGCACCAGGATTTCAACGATTTCGAGGTGCAGGCGTAGGAGGCGATCTAACTTGGAAAGGAAGGCCTCGAGATTTTCGGTCGAAGAGAAAGATTCGAACATCTGCAATGTGGGGCTTGCCGTGGAAGCTGGTGCTCTCCGAGTCAAGGATCTCTTGCTCTCTCTCCTAGGTAGGTCTTTGGGACATGTTATATTTGCTCTTATTGGGCTTAAGAGGATCTTACCTACTAATATTTCTCGACGGCTTTACAAGCACCTCCTAGTCTCCTGCTCTGGCTCTAAAGCCAGCGGTTGATGTTTTACTGTTCAGGTTTCGAGTTTCGGGTTTGGGGATCTGAATGCTCCAACTTTCTGGCGACTGCACAAGTCCTGATGCAAGAAAAATGGCAGGGACTTCCTGAAGCTGCTATGTGATAAGTTCGCCGCTGTATGATTGGTTCACTTCAGGGCGGTGTCTTGCAGAACAAGCAACTTTGTACTGTATTTAGTTCCACTAAGCAGAACGCAGAACTTTTCTCATCCTGGCCTCAGAAAGTCGGGTTGGATCCCGACAGTTAAAGTTCGCTTGTTTGCACACAGATAGGGGGATCCAACACGACTCCATGTGGCAGGAGACGGTGATCAACGGCTGCGTGGCTCTGTGATGGGACCTACACCAGAAGGGTGTTTGCTGGTGCGACCATCCGAGGTGATCTGACCGTGGCTGAGAATTTGCTCTTCTTTGCCTATGTGCGAGGTGTGGCCTACGGTGTTCAGAGCTTTTGTTTTATCCAAATGCTTGACTGAGCACATAGGTAGTAATGCTGAGAATGATGGTGGTGAGGATGAGATGGGCGACGATGGCTGCTCGCGAAGGTGAAAGTAGTGGGAGTGGCTGGCCATGTTAATGACAATAGCCAATAGCTATGACGACGGTGCATGGCATCTCTCCTTCCTGCTTTTGGTACTGCTCATGGGTTACTTCCTCAACGAGCACGAAGACCTATGATGGTTTTGCTTTTGAGTCGCGCGTATCTCTTAGGATCCTCAGTTTATTCCAGGGTTCCGAAGCCCTCAACCGCCAAACGCCTACACCCACATGAGCCTAATGAGAATGAGCCTGGCAGCCTGCTACAGCGCTTCGCAGACTGAGAACCGCCTCGGCGGTACTATGGTCTTAGATTGGTGCTTTTTTCGTGAATTTCGGATCATCCGGTAAAATGGGAACGATGCAGAGAAGATTAGCACGGCCGCTGCGTAGGGATGATGCGCTCAAATCGAGAAGAGAACTGAACCAAGTAGCCCTTTCAACCCTCAGCTCTAAACCTTAAACCCAGACCGAAGCAACTCAAGGAGTTCGAAGACAAAAAGCTCTAAACCATACGGCAAAATACCCGTGTCGCACGAGCCGCCTTGACAATGAGGCTTTCTTGCAACCATTTTCGGGAAAAGGCTAAACAAAAACCCTAAACCCCAAAACAAAGTGGCGCAGGCGCCCAGGGCGATCGAGCCCAGCGTTGTGTCGCTGAGATTCTCCGGGCCACGAGGCTCGAGGAGAAGCAGAGGGAACTTTGGCAGCAGTTACGCGAGGGCTTTTTCAATTAGAGGAGTGAAGTTTTGTAGGTCTAGGCATATTTGACGGTCTTGTAGGTTGCAAATGGGGTATATCATAGTGGAATGGGGATATCATCAGGATTTCAACGGAGGGCTCTAAATACTTGTTCAGACCCCGGCGTTACTTGCAGGATCCGGAATGTTAGCATGTATGGATAGAAGGCTCCTGTGAGGTTCCTGCAACGGGTCGCTGTTAAAAAGGGTTCTACAGGGCCTTAGAAGCATCTGATTTATTACGTGGGATTGTAAGGAGGGGAACTCTGGTTATAATTGCTTATACTAACCAAGTCAAGGTACTTGTAATCCTAATTACTTGCTTTTAACTACCCATAAGCCTCCCAGTGCCAATCTTTATGGTGCTAGTGTCTGGGCAGAGCGAGCAATGATGGGAATGCTGCCCTTTTCAGAAGCTATCTTTGTTCAGTTCCTCAACCCTAAACCCTCAACCCTAACCCGGGTCGAGCAAAAGAAAAAACGGGTCGAGGAGTTTAGGTTTCGGACTCCAGGTTTGGAGATTCGCACTTTCAGCAGTCGCCATGAAACCTCACACCCATAAGCCAGAGTTTCGGGTCAAATCCTATACTGAAGGAGAATGCAGGCACGCGGCATTTAAGGGTGAGGCATAAGCGCGGATGAAGTGGCGGACTTCGTGAAAGATCCTCCAAAGCCGCAACCAGGCATGTCAGAGTTTCTAGCATCCGCTCCTCGGTGTTGAGTCGGAAAGCCGAAATTTAGCATTGCCTTCCTCCCCTTCGCCCAGATCTGGTAGCCAGTTTTTTCTGCGAAACCAGATGTCGTGAATCTCTGCCTGCCTGGTGCGATCGCGACCGTTGGAACCAACGGAAACAGAGGAAGCAGTTAGGGTTTAGGGTTTAGGGACTGCAAGAGGGGGGCTGCGAGTTTCGTGGGCGCTGGCCGGCACCTCAGTCCGTGCTGAAAAAAAGGGTTACTGCAAGCGCTCTAAACCTAAACGCTGGACTGGTCCCTGAGACTGAAGCCCCAAAACCCGAAGCCCGCAAGCCGGCGTCGCACTCTGCATAAGAGATGCAAGTGCGATCATTGCTATCTTCACCGAAACGGGGCTCTCTGACTTAACCCCACAGGGCGGGCTCGTCTTTGCTGGGTGGGAGGCAGAATGAAGCCCGCGACCGAAAAGCCCGTAAGCTGTAACCGGGACTCCGAAACCTGAAAGCCGAAATCCCACATCTTTCGCCCCCTAAGCCCTAAGCCCGACACCCTGAGCCCTAAGCCCTAAGCTATGAAGCCCCTAAACCCTCCCCTAAGCCCTAAGCTCAAAATTTGAGAATCTGAGGACCTGCCCGACGCGCCCTTGGGACTGGTGGACTAGACTCGGGGGGTGAAGGGTTCAGGAGCTTGGAGATTCAGCTAAGATTCTTCTTCTTCTTATTATTATTTCAATAGTTGTAATGTATCATTGTCATTATTACTATTATGTATTGTGTAGTATTCATATTGTTGGTATTGTGGTCATCACTTCTGGGTTGTTTCAGGGTGCTTGGCGGAGAAATCCGCTTTAAGGCCGCGTCTTCTCAGGATTCTGCGTTTAAAGGCGACGGGCGGAAGCACGATTTGGGGCATAGTGTAGCGGGCAGCATCTGTTTGTCTTTCCCTTGCTAGCCTTGCAACGGTCATTGCCCTGTCTTTACTTCCAGCCAGCATGGGGTGCACGGCAAAAACCTGCCTGAAGATCTGCTGAGGCTGAGTGGCGGCATGCGCCGGCGGCTGGCTGTAGGCGCTGCACTGGCTAGATGTCCTTGATCCCCAGGCCAACACGCCCTACATTCTGCGGACTGGCTACCCCATTCATCCTAAATCCTGGAACACTGGTTGCCAAGCGCATTTTCTCAGCTTGTCTTCGGAGAAGCCCCGGACTTCGAGTTTGGGGTGAACCCTAACTGCAGGCTGTGCCATGATCGCCACACCATCTGTGGTGGTTCTTGATGAGCCGACTACCGGGCTCGACCCTGTCAGCCGGCGCGGCATTTGGCAGACTATCGCGGAGGCCGTGCCGACATTTAGGTGCAGGGATTCCAACATCAGGCTTCCCGCGGCCTTACAGTTTGAAGGCTTGACCGGTCTTCAAGTTAAATACAAATGGGAGTTTCCGGAAATAGTTGGAGCCTGATATAGTACCCTAAATAGTAGGATCCTCATTATAAGGACCCCAAAAGAAGGTACCCAGAATTTTCGGAATCTCCCAAACCAAAAGAGGTATCCAATATCCTCCTCAGCTTGACGGCTCCGAAACCCATGCTTGCAAGTGGCTCAAGCACGCTTGGGCCTGAACAGTGTGGCAGCGCGCCCTCCAGCAGCCTTGCTCTCAGATGGAAGCTTCGCTTGCCCGGGGGAGCCTTTGACCAATGCACACTACTGTGGGGATCATACTGTTCAGGTGATACAAAACTGCCAATGTGTGGAAAGTAATCAGTAGTCGTGATGTTCGCGATCGTGATGACGAAGGCATCATCATCACGCACACACACACACACACACACACTTCACAGCCCGAGTGCTTGTGCCAAACAAGGAAAGGAGTTCTCCGACACGGTAGGGAAGAGCACCAGTGATCCTCACAAGGACAGCAACAAAGTGGCAATGAACATGATTCGGGCGACTGTTATTGTTGTGGCGCACTAAACATGGCCAGATGGACGATGACTGGGGTGGACTGGACATGGATGTCCATGACATAGCCTAACATGGTGCCCGGACGCTCTACTTTAAGCCAAGACGCTCTGGTTACTTCGTAAGTACAACAGGACGATCCAGAATCGGCCGATCACATGCGAACATGGCACCCTTTTCAGTTTTGAAAATGGACGAGACTATGTCATTTCACAACACAGGCCGAGAGCCACGAATCCCCATCTCGATGAACCGGTGTAGTTGTCAGAAAATTTCGACAACAGCAGAAGTGACTGCATGAAGTACGTCTTGGGATAGACCCTGGCATCAAGTGTTGTGCCAGAGAAGATGCGCTGGAAGCAAAAGAACCAGAACGCAAGCACAAGAGAGACAGAGTGGTGAAGAGAGAAGAGAGAGAGAGAGAGAGAGAGAGAGAGAGAGAGAGAGAGGCACGGGGGGCGGGGCCTGGATGCTGCCCCAATCCCCAAGCCCGGTAGAGAGAGAGAGAGAGAGAGAGAGAGAGAGACAGAGAGAGAGAGAGAGAGAGACAGAGAGAGCGAGAAGTATGTGTGTGTGTGTGTGTCTGTCCGCGTGCACGCTCATGTGTGCCTTCAGTTTGACACGTTTGTCGGTGTGGAATGGTGTGCATGCGTGTGAGGCTCTTATGGTGCATGATGTTAGATAATGCTTGTTCGAACTTCGGGATGTCTGTTGTGTTCGTTGTGTTAAACATTGGTACGTACTCCCACAATAAGCCAGGGCTCTGGCAAAGAAGTCTGTTACTTGGGTTATATGTGAATGCTTATCTATCGAACATGGGTGTGTTGTCTATACATACATATATATATATATGTATACACATCTGTACTAGGCACTTATCTGCACATGCTTGTGTTCCTTCGGTTGAAGGCGTTGCTGATGCAAGGTGTCCCCATGACCCGGGAGCCTGCGGTGAGCTCGGCAGCAGGGCGGCGCTGTGCCACCGCAGTGCTGGCATCCTGCGCGGTGGGGGCGGTTTTGGCTCCTGAGGCTCCATGTAACTACTAATTTAGTGTTTAGGGTTTAGGGTGATTTTTGAGTCTAATATAGGGGCCCTAATTCCCTAATAGTTACCAATACTATTTTGGGGGTTCCTTATTCTAAGTATAGTATAGTGGACACTACTAAGTTGGGTTCTGTAGAAGCTTGTATAAATAAACACCAATATTATTCCTTTGGGTTCCTTACTACATGTATACAATAAAGGAGCCCCAAACCCTGCTCTAATTGTTCAGGCCTCTACACTGCCGAAGAGGATTATCTGTCTAGATGTGTTGGGCCACATCCTGTGAAGGGGCTAGACATGAAGAAGATATCTCCGAAGGAGCATGGGTCAGTAATCTTGAGTGGCCTTTGACACGTCTGTGCCATCAGGGTGCCTCCAGCGCGAGCTTCGTTCAGCTGCCAGTGGCCGCAGGCACACAGACATGCCCAGAGAGAGTTGCTGCGAATCTTGAACTCCCCTAACACGAGTGAGTCGTCTACTCCTCATGGCCATGGGACTCTCGAAACCGATCCCCTGCTGCGACCTCAAAATCCTTGAATAATTGAGAGCCTGATATTGCACTAGGCTTCCTTCAGGTGCGGGTCATCTAGCAGCACCACTAGCAGCATGTACTGTGGCTCAAGTACTGGAAGAAGCTTCGGTCCTGAGCGGCTTAATCTGCTGTGCGCAAGACCTCGCGAGAGTCATTGAAGCCTTTAAGCCCTAAATCCTTGACCTACTCCGTCCTGTCGCTTAAACCCTGTGACAACCATTTGAATTCTCGCTTGTTTGACCCTCGTTGCGACGCTTGCCATGGAGGTTAATAGGGTACTTTATTTAGGGTCCTTATTCTAAGGATCTTAGCATGTATGGTCTAGGTTAGATATGATTTTGTCAGGTGTTCTCTGATACAAAATGTCCCAACACCCTGCTCTAAGTATGAAGGATTCTCATCTTAAACCGGGCTAGGCCGACCTGTGCCGCTCCATCCTCTCCACCAATCCGCCAAGCGGGCTTCCTCGGGCCATGCGCGGGGTTCGGCCGCTTGGCTCTTTGTCATACGCGTTTTCTATATCGCAAGATTTTAGGGTTTATGGGGCGTAGAGGGCGCATGGCGTGATGTGGTTTACAGTATGTGTACATAAGTGTAAGCGAGGAAAATTCGCTGCAGGATGACGAGGGCTGAAGGTGGTCCTGCAATGGTTCGTCATTGAAGTACACATACTTCGGGCTGAGTCAGAAGTAGAACTACGCAGCATTTTGGGGGGCATGGTCGGGAGATTTACTGATCGCAGCATAGATCCCCGGTCGCGGACTTCGAGCTGTTGCTCTGCACATAAATCCCAGTTACATGAAATCATGCCGAACACCCTGAAGCCCTAAACTTTATCAGTCCTAAACCCTTCCGAACTCCCGAGACCTCTTCTGGGTCTGTGAGAGGACATGTTTGGAAGTCTTTCACCTCATTCGACCGAACACCAGTTACCTCGCATGGCTTGTCCTAGTGTCCGCACCGAAAGCCTATAAGCTTAAGCGCTTCGAATGCACTAAACCGTAAGGCCCTATTACCTACTAAAGGGGCCTCAATAATTACCTATACTATCTTGGGGGTTCCTTCGTATAATTATAGTACAATGGGCCCCCAAATCTTATTCGAAACCTTAAGGCCCCTATATTATAACCTTTAACCCGAGATCCGACCAGGCCTAAACCCTCTAAGTCTTAAACCCACAGGCATTTCGGACGTCCCTTGGGCAGACGGAAAAGAGGGTTCAAAAAAACAAACTGGGGTCTTGTGCCAGGGCGCCCTGGTTGCGGGCGCGCTCGCTGCAGTTGCTGCGGGGGCGGGTCGAAGAAGAGTGGGATGCTCCGCAACCGAGCCCGAGGTGGTGGAAACAGGCAGTTTGCTGTACTGATCCATAGACGGTTTATATACAAAACCCTCTATGCAGCTTGCTGTATGGATCCATTCATGTCTTGACGTGACGTGGAAGCCTCTGTCACCAAGCTGGAGATGATCGGTTGAGCGCAATTTCCGAGCTTGGTCCATTGGTGGCTAGCGGCTGCATAACTTCGTTCCTGTTGTGCTTGATGCTTGATGCCCTGTCAGGTGATATCGAGATGGAAGGCTTTAGCAGCCCGGCTGTCCTGAGAGGATGCGCTTTTGCAGTGCGGTAGGTAGATCTCACTCAATGTCGGCCGACCAGCATGGCAAGCCACAGGACTCCTTCAACTTCTTGAGATGCCTGCTGTTGCTCAAGTTAGCACGCAAGCTCACCCTATGCTGCACCTTAGGGCCAGCGGCCGATCCCTCCAATGCCCATGCCTGGAACAGTCCGAGAGTCACAGAAAAGCCCATGATAAGGAAGGGTGTTATGCACCTACAAGCCCCAATCCGCACCACTGCATCGCAACCATCGCAGTCTGAACGAGGTAGAGACAACGATGATTCTGCAGATAGTGATGATGACATGGAACCGCCGGTGAAGTCAATGCGCTAAAGTCACTATACTCTAAGCCCCAAACCTTAACCACTAATTACCTGTTATATACCATTCGGAAGGAAACCCCTAAACCCCAGCCCTCTTCACGAACTTCTTTCCCCCGGCCTCTCGGCTTCGGGCAAGCTGCAGGGTCAGGGTGGTGTCCTCAAGCGAACCTTTACATCACATGCGAGGGAAGTCCCGCCCAAGGCAGCGCCTCCCGAACCCTTTGTGAAAGTCTGTAAAGCTGCGGGGAGCTAGATTCCCTGAAGACCGGAAGAAAGACTCGAACCTCCGAAGGTCACACCCTACACCACCAAGCTTCATTGCTATTGTTCTGATTATCAGTATTGTTGTTGATATTGGCATGGTTATTGCCATTTATTGCTTTTTATCGCTATCACTATTTATTCCTTGTTATTACTATTGTTGTTGAAATTGTTATTCTAATTATCAGTAGCATGATAGTTAGTAATTATTGGTCCTGTTATTGATAGGAGTAGCCAGCATCCATGAGCTTTCGCAGGTACTCTGAAGCCTAAGACAGCAACTGCAAGGTACCATGACGCCCTTCGGTGAGGGTGAGCAGCTTCCTGTGCGCGTCTTCGAGGGCGCTGAGGAGGTAGACATGAGCGAGAAGCAGGAGCAGCGCTTCGCGGTAATAAGCTGCAAAACCGACAGCAACCACGAGAAAAGGTCACCGTGACAGTCTAGGAAGTGCCGGTATGGAGGTTGTATTGGTCAGCGCTATTTAATACCCCTAACGAAACTCTACTCGTAAATCCAGGACAAACAGGCCCCCCCGAACTTTGGGATTTCGGATTTTCTGCAGACGGAAGACAGGCGCCGCAAGAAAGCAGCAGAAAACAC